GCATTCATCCAACTTCGATTCATATTATGTTATAAAGTTTCGTCACTCCTAGAGATTTAAAAATTATATGTAAAAAGAAATTAATATACAAACAACAAAGCACGTAAATGGAGTGTGTAAACCGAAAATGCACTCAAACAAATAAACAAATAATTACATTCCAATAACAATCCTGTGGAGACATTCATACAATAACGTGATTGAGATCCCCCAAAACAATCACGGATTCAATTTAAACATATAGCAATGATATAGAACACTAACCTCGAGTGTAGACGAAAAATGATTTCAAACTCGAATCCAATCGGGGAGAAATATCAAGTTCGTAAAATGACACACAATGTTGATGTTTTTCACTGTCAAACTGATTGAAAATGGTGTGCAGAGGTAGCTGTTGTCGTCGTTCTCATCATTGTTCTAAAAAACCCTTGTTGCGCGAGACGAGGGAGTGGGTCTGGGGGGAATAAAAGGGACTTTTTACGTCGTGCACCCCAGCACGCGATATAAAAAGCACTCTTTTACGTCGCACCTGGGTGGCGCGACGTAAAAGAAAGCTTTTTACGTCGCCTCCTAGGATGTGCGACGTAAAAGTTTTGTCTCTTATTTACAAAATTGCCACCGCATTTTATTTATGTCGAATATTTTTACATGCGACGACAATTGGATGACATAGAAGCCCTTTTTTGTACTAGTGTAAAGAACATTATCAATGGTTAAAGAAGAAAAAAGTTTAACCATTCCAACACCATGAGATGATACTCTAGAGCCATCAGCCAGTGTAACAGAAGGTAAATGATTAGGAGAGGATAAAGAGGAGAACAAAGATTTGTTACCAGTAATATGATCAGTGGCTCCCGAATCAAAAACCTAAGGACCAGGAGAAAATGATTGGGTCAGACCAGCAAAATATGTATTTGTATGTGTGACAGATATAGTGGAACTATAAGACTATTGATCCTTATACTATTCGAGAAATTTGTTGAACATAGCAGGCGTGTCGGATGCAACAGAAGAAGGATGATCCCTTGCAGATAAAGGTAGGGAAAGATTGGTCTGAACAACTACAACAGATTGAGGATGACGACCATGTAATGTATAACACTTGTTAATCTTGTGACCTAGCTTGCCACAATGTTCACACTTAGGACGTCCTTTTTCTTGTTTGCGAGTGCGAGTGCGAGTCCGGTCATCATGATGGGATGTCAACACAAAAGAATCGTTAACAAAATTGGAAATAGTGGAAGAAGTCATGAAGAGCGAGAGAACAAGCCCTAAAATAATCCAAAGTAATCCAATTAACCCACGAAGCACAAATCCAAAATGAGAATACTCAAAATAAGTTCGTCAAGACTAAACGGCGCAGGAGACAATGGGACAACCAAATCCGATAGTGGTGATCTCAACAGCACGGTGGTCACCTGAACAAGACAAGCAAAATCATATGTCACCGGTCAAAAAAATAAATGAAACTCTAGCGAATTCTCTGGCAGCGGCGGATCCGGTGACTGCTTCAGCGGCAGCGGTGACAACAACGTGAACTAGTACACCAGGTAAGTTCCCAGGAAAGAGAGGTGGGTCACTAATGGACACACTTAAATACCAAGTTTTTCCTTGCCAAAATTTCCTAAACATGCACTTTCACACTACCAAATAAAATTCAGTAACAAAGATAATTCTTTTCTGATGTGGAGGATCAGTTTACCAGCAACGGTGGGGCGACTCCAACCGTGAACAAAAGGCAAAAAAAAAATTCAAGATAACCTTAAGCTCTAGATACCATGTTAAATATGGAGGAAATATGATTTGAAATTAATCTCCCTTATGTATAAATCACACATAGGGTGGTCTATTTATAGTAGAAAGATACAACTAAAAGTAACAGAATAAACAAGAGATATTGTTTGATATTGTGGTTACCAATATCTAACAATATCTTAACAATATCAAATAATATCTAAACAATATCTAACAGTAAATTTTAGTTACACAAAACAAACATTCATTGTGTATAATGTATATGTAGGCTAAAATACTGGTGACATGTATAAAAAGAACAATTTATTTTTTACAAAAATACAAACTTTACCTTATTTATAACTAAAATCTATTACGTATTTTATATTTAAATTTTTGGGTCAATGTGTATGTCTTCTGTAAAATAATACCATAAAGGTTAGTTTTTGTATAACAAAATTATAATCATAAAAAGTTTTAAATAGATAAATTATATTATAAACTTAATTTGTAATAAATCAATATAAGAGTCATATGAAAAATTTATAAGAAATAATATATACTGTGACAAAAATTGTGTTTGTCTGTTGAAATTTTAAAAATAAATCAAATTTTTAAATTTTTATCCTCTTTATATGTGAACTAATATTGTGTACAATTGTTCAAAATAAATATTTATTTTAAATAACTAATTTTTACAATAAAAATACTTTAAAATATATAAACTGTATCATGATTTAAACTCAGAATAGAAATAACTTTAAACATATACATTATGTTATAAATTTAAGATAAATAATTTATATTATGAATGGTGTTATCTTTAGTCACTAATACCCTTTTAAAAAATATAAAAATTAAATTAGAACTATGGATATTAAAATAGAGAATATGTTAAAAAAATATGAAAATATTTTCATCGAAAACAAAATTCCTAAAAAGTTCTAATAATGTTTTTTTATAATTTCTAACGATGATTCTTAAAAACTATTTTCTTTAGAAATAATTATTGTTATTTATATAGGAATAGTTGGAAGAACTATTTAAAATGAGTGCATTTTTACTAGCAATTTTTCAGTAAAGTGTACTTTTTAAAAATACATTTGAATGAAAGCACTTTTTGAACTTTACTTGAACTCTTCTTTAAAGTTTTCATTTATACATTTCAATCATATTTGAAGTCATTCATCACAAAACAATAATATATATATAATATGTTTTCTGAAGACTTTTTCTTGTCACATTTTCATACAAGGACTCTGTAATTAATTTATTTTATAGTTGACGATATCATTCAAGTTATTTTCATGTAATAAAATCCACTTGACTTCCTCTGAATTCTTCAAATTATAAACACCACCAGATAATTAATTCATTATCTAAATCACTCAAATATCTCATTCACAAAATACAATTTCAATACTCAAGATCTTTCACAGCATAAGTATATTCATTTATATAATTATCTTGAAACACATAAATAGTAATAACATAATGTTTTTATTAATATAAATTAATACATTTTCAAGTTCTTAAAAAAACATTTTCTCTTACAAATTTCGCTGAAGAAAAATCCAAAGCACTCGATGGATTATGCAAAATAATTCAATTTTACTTTTTGCATAAATTTTGTTTAGAAATTCACACAATTTTGAATTTTCAACATTATCTCTAACAAAGTAAGTTAACTTAAACTTACTTTACCTTTTACCCGATGCTCTTCAAGAAAAAATCAAAATTTTGAAAGGAAGTCACTAAATGATGTAAAAAGTAAAAACTTATACAAATGAAAAATCTAATAGAGAAGATGACTCTTCTTCACTATTTTCTAGATGATATATTCTAAGAAAAAAAAAGATAAAATAAAATATATTTTAGAAAAATAATCGTTTTTATAAAAAAAATATTTATAACTTCATATTTGAACTAAATATTATTATCTTAAAATTCATAAAATTGTATCCTATAAAATAAATTGCACATTTCAAACATAAAATAAAAGAAAAGCATATTTGAGATAATTGAGATTTATTTTTAACTAAAATTGAGATTAATATTGTAATTAGGAAGTATATTTATTTGATTGAAAAGAAATTTCTAAGCATATATTTCAAAATAAAAAGTAATATTTACAACATTGTATAAAATAATTTTTACATTAAAGCTATAGTTTACAAATTATATTATCAAAATTGATAATACAATATATTTTTGTATGAATGGTAAAGATAATACTTTAAATATTTAAAATCTTCTTTCTTGGCATTAAATCACCACTTTATTAAAAAAAAAACTTTTGAAAGTGTTAATATATAAAGAAGACATTTAGGTTGTAGTACCAAAGTAGTTGTTATATCTATGAAAGATTTAAATTATATAACAGAGACCTCTAACGTGATGTACCAAAAGTAGTTGCTACACTCACCAAACATCTTTATCAATCATCAAATGTATTTTAGAAAAGCTAAACATTTTAGATTAAAAAATAAAATCAAAACTTGCTTAACCAAAAAAACATTAAAAAAAAAAAACAGCTTCTCTCTCCTGAAGGCCCAAAACAGAAGGTTCAACCCACAACAAACATTCTTTCCCAACATAAAACAAACTTAATTTCTCTAAAAGTTTAATTAAAATGTTTGTTATTTTTAAATTTAGATAATAGCATAATGTAGATTCCCAAGAAACAGGGTGCAGAGATCTCAAGACATAAAAATACAGTGAGATGATAAGAGGAAGAGGGAATTGATGGATGAATATAATAAAGATGAATTGGTCCCTTTGTATAATTGCTCCTTCCACTATCCAGCTGGAAATGCTCTCACAAAAGCAAAAAAGGACAACAAACCAAACCAAACCACATATCATATCCCACTCCATTTTTATCAACCACTCATCATCAATCAAGGAATGTTGTTAATATTTTTTGGGTAACTCAGGAATGTTATTAATGTACATTATTGTTTAATATATGTTTAGATTTAATAGATTGTAAACACATTCTATATAACAATAATAAAATATGTTGAAAAAAAAATGAAAACAGTTGATTACATAAAACATCAACAATTTAAGATGTTTAGGATGTCTACATTTATTTACAATGTTATTGAAATGTAACTATCTCTGAAAAACTAACAACATTAATATGATATTATTATGAGTATTAAAAGTTTAATAAAATTGTGTTATATTTTTTATGTTGAATTAGTTTAATTTTAAAAAAGTGGCATAAAAAAAAATAGAGAGAGGAGGATTGGAACCCCTCCATGTTTGAAGGGATGGGGGGACCCAACGGGCAGAGGGGGAAAGCACGAGAATTTTATGCTCTTACAGCCGGTGACAACTGTAGAATTAAGACCCTCCAGCTGGATTTGTCCACTTGGCGACACTCTATTGGGGGAGATCTGGCATCATTCTTTTTAGAAGCAGTGGTACTACCCACTTCTTTTGAACAGCTTTTGCCAGCTATCACTGCCACAGTAACGGCTATATTTTTTTTAATCTTGCAACAATCTATGTTTTGTATTTTTTGTTCAATCCTTGGAATTTGAAACCCTGGACGTGGCACGTGACATGTCGCACGCTACTTCATTACGTGGAATGAATGAAAGGATCAATGAATGGGGCTATAAATAGCACTTAACACTCACAGGCATCTCTCGTGCGCCCTCACAGAGAAAGCATTGCATTGGGGGAGTGGAAGCATAAGCTTCACCTCACTCTGTTCACTTCTCAGTTCAGCTGCATAGATTCTGTCTTTTATTTTGTTATTTTCGTCTTCGTGCACTTCAAGGAACTCTTATTAGTTAACTATGTCCAAGATGTTGGGACTGTTTCTTGGTCTTTTGTTCGTGGGGTTGGCTGCCTCTGCCAAGTTTGATGAACTCTTCCAACCCAGTTGGGCCATGGACCATTTCATCCATGAAGGAGAATTACTCAAACTCAAACTTGATAACTATTCTGGTAATTAACCCAAATCTTTAACTTTCCTCACTTTTCATGCTACAATGATGTCTCATTTGCCTAATGTTCTTTCCTTTCAAGCCCTTTTAAGTAATGTTATTGCTAAGAGCTCATCGTGTTTTGTTAGATCTGGTTCTTATTAGACATTTCGCAGTCCTGCAAAGTTATTTGTGTGTTATTTTCAGCTTAACATGTATCTTGTTTTGGGACATTGCAGGTGCTGGATTTGGATCCAAGAGCAAGTACATGTTTGGAAAAGTGACCATCGAGCTCAAGCTTGTGGAGGGTGACTCTGCTGGAACCGTTACAGCTTTCTATGTAAGTGGAAATTTTATCAAAATTAAAATCCTTACGATGCTCTCTTTTTCTGTGCTCCTACGGGGAAAAGTTATCAATCGACATAATTTAATATCTGAATCCCCTTTTCCATATTCAGTTCAATGCATCATGGATAGAGAAGGGCTTTAACAATCCATGAATTGACTAGTACAATAGCCATTAGTGTCAGCTACTTACTTCGTTTCGACCAGTGAATTTGCATACAGCCAATTTATTCTTTCATTAATTAAATGTTTCTGTCGCTGTCTCCATTTTGAGCCACGATCTAATATTTCTAGGGTAACTTTATACTTCTACTTTCTTATTGTAAAATATTTTATTATAAGTGTAAAATATATTTAGTTGATTTAATTTAACACCTTAAAAAGGGGAGTTAAAAATATTTGTGTTTATATGTCCCCGATCAACCTACTATCGTACGCAATTTATTCCACTTTTTATTGACCTTTATGACCTATACAAGGGACAGGGACAAGGACCGTGACATGCTTATACCAATAATTGATGGCATCTTAAATGACTAAGACATTGATGGTCATTTTCAATTTGTGTGATGCAGATGTCATCAGATGGTCCAACTCACAACGAATTTGATTTCGAGTTTCTGGGCAACACCACTGGAGAACCTTACTCGGTCCAAACGAACGTGTATGTGAACGGGGTTGGTAACAGGGAGCAGAGACTCAACCTTTGGTTCGACCCTACCAAGGACTTCCACACCTATTCCATCTTCTGGAACCAGCGCCAAGTTGTGTAAGTATTATTACCTATTATTCCATTCCAGTTAATTAAACACGGCCATTATCGTAAGTATCAGTATAAGTTAGCACAAAATAGTGTTTACTGAACCTGGAGTCTTTACGTAACCCGAAAAGATGTCAAGAAAACACGAAATTGCATGCTTTTGTCAGTTGAGTTTGTGATATATCAAAGCGTCACTATGTCCCCGTTGGGTCCCATAAACAAACTCATCGTAAAAGCCAGTGCAGAGGGAATCTTACACAGACAGTATTGACACACAACACAGCTCATTTTCATGAGAAATCATCAACTAGTTTAATTTTTTTTTTTTAAACAGTAGAAACACTTCATTTTTTCTCACCATTGTACTTTTAGATTTTAGTCTGAAATAGAAGATAAAAGTTGTGACATTTGGAAATATGTTGTGAATGTTCAGATTCGAAGTGGATGGGACGCCAATAAGGGTGCATACAAATCTGGAACACAAAGGAATTCCGTTCCCAAAGGACCAAGCCATGGGTGTGTACAGTTCAATATGGAACGCAGATGACTGGGCCACCCAGGGTGGTCGTGTGAAGACAGATTGGAGCCACGCACCTTTCATGGCCACCTACAGGGACTTCCAGATCGACGCGTGCGAGTGCCCCGTGCCAGTGACGTCAGCGGATACAGCCAAGAAATGTAGCAGCAGTGAAGATAAGAAATATTGGTGGGATGAACCCACCTTGTCGGAACTGAACCTTCATCAGAGCCACCAGCTTATGTGGGTTAGGGCTAACCATATGGTCTATGACTACTGCACCGACACTGCAAGATTCCCCGTCACACCTGCTGAGTGTGTCCATCACCGCCACCACTGAAGAGAGTACTGTTGACATGTTCTTCATGTTCTACTTTGTAACATATTTTATGTGAATTCTTTTATTTTCGTTGCATGCCTGTGCAATCCAATTTTATTCTTTTTTTTATTAAGATGTCTGTCTTTTCATGCTTATTCTTTATTTGTTTATTCAGACGTAAGCTGACGAGGTAGTGAGATTTGTTTAGAGGGTGTCTCGTATATAAGTAGCTGATGGGATTGTCTTAGGGACCAAACAGATATTGTTTGGTTAAAAAGATAACAAAGAATGAAAATTTTGGGGAAGATATATATAGAAAAATTGAAAAGATTAATCCAGATTACGTAGGTGGGTCCAAGATTTAAATTGTAATTAGGACATAGATCTTGGGGTAATCTTGGTTTACAGTCCAAGATTCTTGCTTGGGACTATTTAGTTTCTATAATCAATTGATCTAAGAAGAAAATATATTATATTGAATAGATAAACAGTAAGATATGTCATGGGTAGATGAAACTGCAAGAAGAAAAAATAAAAATATCATTTTTTTAATTTTAAGATATGATTGGTTAAAGAACTGGTTATTTAAAAAAAAAAAACTTAGGATTTGTCAATACATTTTATATGTTTTTTTACTAGTCAATAAATTGGTTTATATAAATATAAGAAAGAGGATAAGGATGGAAGGAATATTTAACCTTAACCAAAACTTAATTCTACCCAAAAATTCAGAAAACTCCATCCAACTATAAATAGTCATAAAAACTCCATAGTTATAGTTATGTTATCCATGAAACATAAGATAATAATATCCTTCAAATCCAGCAAAAACAATAAGAACCTATCATCCCATTTCACCTATTCTAAAACATCTAGAACTTAATATATAAAAATCAATTTATATGTAGATTACAAAATATAGAAATGTCAATATGACTTCTAAGAAACTCCACTACTTGAACCAAGTAAAATTGTTGTCAAATGAATAAAATTGAAAACCATACAAATCTCCATCTTTACAATCTCTACTTTTGTTAAGAAACATGATCAGTGTTGTAAAAACTTCACTAATAAGTCCCTTATATTGTACAAAATTAGTTCACAATCATATCTCTCAATTTACTTTTCCATTTTGCCAGTATTCCATTTTCCCCACCAACTCATTTCGTTGTTCAGAATCTGGGAAATCTATTGGCTAAACTCTCTTCAACCACCTATTTATCACTCTAAAATCTTCAAATCCTTAATCTCACTTCCACGCTCTCTCATATAATCAAACCAACGTAATTAATTTTCTCCATCACAATCTTTTTCAAATCGATTACACTTTCACGTTATGGGACAAAGATTGACGATGGTAAGGAAAACAAAAATAGAGTGGAGAGAAAGGAAACTGGTGAAAAAAAAAAGTTATATGTTTAGAGGGAAATGGGAGGAAAAAAAGTTAAAAGGTTGATATTTTAATTTATTGTATATTTCTGTTATTATTTTTTATTTTTATCTATTCAATTTTTTTTAAATGGATTCGTAACCATATTAAGGGCCCACATGTGTGGGCCATGAAAAACAAAGCCCAAGAGGTAATGATTGGATTATCCAATCAAGGTTGATGATTCTGAACCATCATAAATCAGCGCTGATACCCTCTTTGTTTGAGATTAATGATTTATTGAGGGCCCTGATCTAAACTTTAGGAAAAATCAATAAACAATGGAGCAGTGGATTCACGATGGAAAAAAATTAACATCCCATGATTAAATTTAATTAAACTTTACAAAAATAAATTAAATTAAATTTATAATATCTTGGGTTTTCAACATTATTAATAACTAAAAGAAATATTTATTAGACAAGTATAAAACATGAAATTTTATACTTTTAATAAATTTAAACAAAATAAAAATGTATTTTAAGGGAGATTTAACAGTACCTGCCGCTCAAGAAACATGACATTAACTTGAATAGTTGCAATGAAAGTGAGGTAGGTGTCATTAAGAAAGGTTAGTTACAAGAACTGATACAAAAATGTAAGTATGCAAATTTAAACAAGAACTCAATATATTTTATCCCATTACCCCTCATTTATTCTTTTCCAATTTTTCGTAAAGTGCCCTCTAAATGTCTCTTATATCTCACTTTACTTTCCACTCACCTCTCTTCTTAAAAAAATACCATGGTTGGGACTTCCTACCTACCAAGCTCATCATAATCTCAATTGTTTCTTTTGTTAATTTTTGCTACAACTTTATTCTTATGATTATAATTGTGATCCACTCAAACACTATTTTCTTTATAAAATCCAAACAATGGGAATATAAAAAAAAAGGTAGACGCTTCGTCTTTTAGTAGAAAAATTATATTAACTGAAAGTTACAATACAAAATATAATAATTTTGAGTTCAATTTATACTGATGCGGCGCACCTCTCTATATACATATAGATTTAAAATTATTATTAAATATTTAAATTTTTTTATTTTATTTTATAATCTTATATATTTAAATCCGTTTAGACCTATATATAATTATAAATCCACAAATACACTATTTACTTCCACCGATTTAGGATATTAGATCTGCTGTCACGATTTAATTTCCCTTTCATTTTTTAGAAATAGTTTTATTTGCTAATTTACTTAAAGTTGCATTTAACCATTACTATGTGCTAATTCTCATAGATTATTAAGAGCATCTCTTATTTGATTTTAAACGGAACTTGTTATGATTATAAAGTATAATTTAATCATGCATATAAATTATTTTTCTTTTACTATTTTTTTTTATTTTTTACTCTGTATACAGATTTTTTTTATATTTTAATTTCTATAAACATGACACTTGATTTAAGCGGCAAAAATCTTAGTGACTGAAGTTGAATATATGACTCATACAAAAAAAGTTCAAATTAAGAAGAGATGTTAAACTATATAGTTTTCGGTCAAACTTTAAAGAAAATTCATTTTCGTGTTTGAAAAAGATATTCCTTTATAATGAATAAAATAAAATAAAATACAACTCTAACAAAAAAAATATTAATTTTATGAGGTAAATAGAGTAATTTAAGCCTTTTTTTTAGGTAGATGATAAACATGATATTTTTATATATAAATTTTGACATCTCTTTGTTTTATTATCTTCTGTTAAAATTATTTATGTAAAATTAAATTTAACTAATATGTTAAAACTCTTTATAAAATTTATTGATATACTCTCAATTTATTATTATATATTTATTCATTGGATAATTATTTGTATAACTAAAAAAAAACAAAGTATTATTTAAAAAAAAAGTAATTACTATCTGATTAAAAGTTTAAAAATAGTAGTTACTGTTCTGATAAAAAAATAAAAAAAAAATGAGACGGCAAAAAAGATTAAAAGGTTAAAAGTGAAGATAACAAAACAGCAATCTTAAAAAAATAACACTGTCATTAAAGAGAGATGGAAGCAATATTAATTTTGTTCATTGCTACATTTATTATTGATTACTTTCTTTGTTTGTTGGCATATTCTTGAAAATGATGAGCGAAGCGAAGCGGCTGGTGAACCCTAATTAGTTGTCGGTGATTGTTGGAAGAGCTCGTCTCTGTTTTCTTCGTCGTCTTCTCTACCCCCAACCAGAGATGCGCCCAACAAACTAAAGCTTTCGACTTTTCGACACCCTCTCAGGTTTTACCTCTTTCACCATCTTTTCCTTGTTCATCCCTTCACTAATTGTGTTCAAAGAAAGGGTTTTTGTTTTCTTTGGTTTTCTTTCTCTTTTAATTTACCCCTTTGAATACTTTTTATTTATTTTTATACAGTTTTTTTTATTCCCGATTGTAATCACTGGCTTGCATTTGCCTCAGTTATTGCTTTGAAAATTTTCCTAGTATTTATTTATATTGGTGAGTGTAGAGTTGGGTTACAAATATTTGTAGAGTGGTGGGGTGATTGATATGTTATGGAAGAGGCTATGAAATGATTTGCATGTTAAATGGGGTTCTATGTTTCACTCTCTCATCGGACATAAGTTTCAAATTGAGTTACTGTGAGTGACCACTTAAATTCATTACTCGTGTGTTTGGGTTCACACTGATTTATGAATAAGCATGTTGAAATACCAGCTAAATGTCCACTTGTTTGATTACACTCTGAAGATTTGATTCTGGGTTCAAGAAACTTTATGGAACTTCGATGAAAAATTTTAGATTGACTTTTACCATCGCTTTAAGAAAAAAAAAAAAAAAATCTAAACATGACTTACATATTTTTTTCATTCAAAAATAAATTTTGCAAAATAATCACTCAAACATACATTCATAACTTTAACATTGTAGATTTTTCCTGTTCATTACATAGTGCAACTTGAAGTGCATGCACATGTTAGCGAAAGCACCTAATAAAGGGGATGGAAACAAGTCCCTGGCTAAGATACTGGCGAAATGGAAAGAATATAATGCCCAGCTTGATTCCAGCAATGATGCGGATAAGCCAGTTCGAAAAGTTCCTGCCAAGGGATCGAAAAAGGGGTGTATGAAAGGTAAAGGGGGGCCTGAGAACTCGCGGTGTAACTACAGAGGTGTTAGGCAGAGGACTTGGGGAAAGTGGGTTGCTGAAATCCGAGAGCCTAACAGAGGGAATAGGCTCTGGCTTGGTACTTTTCCCACTGCCATTGGAGCTGCCCTTGCATATGATGAAGCGGCCAGGGCAATGTATGGATCCTGTGCCCGTCTCAACTTTCCCAATGTTTCAGTTTCCAGTTTCTCCGACGAATCCTCCAAAGATTCTCCAGTGGCAAATCATTCTGGTTCTTCAATGGCGGTGTCTGCAAATGAATCCATGGTTTCACCAAGTAACTCTGAGGAGGCAGGCGCAGGAGAGGATGTTGATTTGGAACCCATTTCCTTATCCTTAAGTGTAAAACTTGAGAACGGGGAAGGTGAATCGGGGATAAGTTCATCCCCTCCTTCTTCATAATGTACATTTGAACATGGCTAAAATTTTTAGCTCATGTACTTGTTAATGGTAGCTTAGGTTTAATGAATCTTGATACTTGGTCCTGGAGATTAACTGCTGTAAAACTAAAATGAACTTGGTTGCAGAGTGGTCATTTCTTCTGGTTTTGGCCTAATGTGCTCAAGGTATCCATTCTATGTTTAACTCATCCTATATGAATTATACTTAACTTTGTCTTGTCATGTTACATACCCTTCCCTACAATCCATACTCCTCCAAATCCATTTGCTACTGTCTCTTAATATCCTGAGTAATGCTGAATGAGGTTCCCTTCTTAACTAAATTATACCTCTGAGAATTGGTTTATTTAATTTTTAGAATGTCCATTTTTATTATACTGGATTTTCCATGACTTATTAGGTTATAATAGGGTTAGATTAGTGTATAGTGACTCTCCATGATGAGTCTGCAGACAGGAACAAAGCAGGAAGTATTTGAGTTGGATTTTCCACAACTCTAAACCAACATGGATGCGAATCTCAATCTTTCTCTATTATCAAGCATGTTGGATTAACCATAAAAGACACCATTCTCTTTGAGAGCAGGAGAATAGGAAGATTCATAACCATCATGTTATTTTTTTTAATCATAAAATATTTGTTGTGCTGTTTACTGCGATCCTCAGCTGCAATCCCATTATGCTAGCTCTACTTGGTATCTTTTCTTTCCATTATATTAATGAAAACTTTTAGAGATAAAGTGATATATGGCTTTCGAAAAAATAAAGTTACAGTGATTGAATGAAGACGATTTGAAAAGTTACATACACTGATATATGCCACAGATTCTATTTTCTCGTGAACCAAATTTGATTAGAGTAGAAAATATTAGTTATATATAATTTAATGTGTATATCATGTACATAAATGCTTAAATTTTCTCTAGTTACGGTACTATATTCTTTTGCTTGTGATTTGTGTATCTATGCACATTCATAATGAACTGACCATGAAATTATGAATAATTTAGAACTTATTTTTAAAAAGTAAATTTAGGAACAATTTATATATATATATATATATATATATATATATATATATATATATATATATATATATAAATTTGGCAATATTTTTTAATTACAACCGATAATTTGTGCAAGCATTTATGATATGTTTTTTAGTGCAAAACTTTGATTGCAATGAAGAACAATAAGAAAAATATCTAAATATTGCAACTTTAAATATCAAGCATTATCACCAACTTTCAGAGCAAAATTAACCCAGATTGAATCCCACACGTATGTCCAATTAAAAGATGAATTAACGCAATTGAATGTTTGGGACTCCCAGATCCACGAAATATTTTGGGACCATGCCTCGTACGTACTAATAATGTCACGTGCAGCGTCAAATTCTCTTTATACTATTTTTTTTTATTATTAAAAATTATGTCACAACTTAGATTACATAAGAAATCAAATATAGATGTGTATTAATAATAATTTTGAAATTTTTATTAATATTTTCAAAATATTGGTAAACATTTTTGTTTACAAAACATATAGCACTACACCCACAAGACATTACATCTTGTACTGTACTCGGCTCAACATGCATAACTACCTCAAAGTTTTTATATATGTAACATGCGTTTCAACTTTCCTTCAATTTTGTAAATTGAATTTGATAACAACGCTTTGTTGTTGTTTAAAAACTAAAGAGAAATGATGATTAAAGAATATACAAATTAAGTCACATGAGATTACAAAATTTGAAGAGATTATGAAATATATTTTACGTCATTATAGAATTTGTTTAATGCAATCTTTTACAAAACAACCAGACTAAACTTTTTTTAAAGTCAACCAATATAATTTTTTTTATGTGCTTTCCTTTCCCTTTATCAGAACAAAAACCTAATGATAATAAAGTAAAGCAACTTTATTTTATTATTGTTATTTTTTTTTTGTGTGTGTGTAGATAGGTTTAGATGGAAGGACAAATAATGCAAAAGCGCGGGAATATATATTAGCTGGGGGAAACAGTGAAATGAGGAACAAGTTATTGTACTTGTTGGTATGATGATCAGAAATCCAAAACTAGGGTCCTCCCACAGTTAATTAGTTCAATGAGGAAAGTGATAGGAAAAATCAATGCCTTCTAATTTCCAGCTACGTATGTGCCAACTGTGCTCTTCCATCTATCTCCACGCCCCACAACCAAAAGTGATTCTATTCTCTGCATAACTACTCCTCATCTTCAATTCTACATAAATCAATGTATTTCTTGTTCGAGAACAATTTTTTTATAGGTGGGTTCAAAATAAATCTTTTACTGATCTATAGAGTCACTGTGGAATTCAAGTTGGACTTACAAACTTAAGAGCTCAAATAAAAAAAAGAATAGCAAAGATATGAAAAATATCCTCATCAAGATAAAGAAAGGAGACCACATCCTATATTGACCGTTCAATGAGATGATCTTCAACCCAAATTGTAAAATGCAATTTTGAACAGATATACCGTTTACTCTCACTGTAGCACCCATGTGTCAGTTGAAAGCAGCTAGCATATATGCAGCATTTGAAGAAAAAAAAAAATAATATCAATGATAAATATTTTAATCTATTAAATATCGACTCGATAACAAACCTATCACATTCAATCACAACGTTTTATAAGATTGTTACTTTCTTTCTTTTATTTTTTCTATTACGTTTCTGATATATATATATATATATATATTAGAAGAATGTGTTTTTGTATAGAAGAGAAAAATAATATCTATTTTCATCTTCAAAGAATGTGTCTTTTGTTCTTTCTTTCTCTATGTTCTTTATCTTTGATGAGTTGCAGATTTATCAAGATGGTATCGAGCTCTTCTTTTAGAAGAGCTCTCACTGCGTATCTCTCGGTTTTATTATTCTATTCTTTTTGTTTCCTGTTTCGTCTCTTTCATCATGACCTCAAGCAGTGAATCAAAGGTTGTTATACCCACTCATGATCTCAATACGTTGAATAATTTTCTGTATTTGCATCCCAGTGAAAACTCAGTCATCTCTCTTGTTTCCCCTTTGTTGGAATCACACAATTATCATTCTTGGAGCAAATCTTTTTCCATTGCCCTCAGCGCCAAAACTAAAGTTGAATTTATCGATGGGTCTGCTCCTGAACCAGCAGAAACAGATCATACATATCAAGCATGGAAGAGGTGCAATAACATGGTGGTGGCATGGCTAATTCATTATGTTTCCCCTTCCATCAGATAAAGCATCTTATGGATGGATAAATCTAAAGAAATATGGAAAGACCTCAAATCAAGATTATTTCAAGGTAATTTGATTCGTATATCAGAACTACTGTTAGAGGTTTCATCTCTTAAACAAGGGAGTTTATCTGTCATTGAATATTTCACGAAAATGCGCATTATATGGGATGAATTGGATAGCTTTCCTCCAGATTTGGCTTGTAAATGTTCGCAGAAATGCTCATGTGGTCTCATTGCCTCTCTTCATCAAAGGAAGACAGAAGATCATGCTATGCAATTCTTGAGAGGACTTAATGATCAGTATAACAACGTTGTCTATCACGTTCTAATGATGGATCCTCTTCCTTCCATCTCAAAAATCTTTTCTTATGTAGTTCAACAAGAAAGACAGATTGGAGGAAGTAATTTCATGAATGAAATCGAAACCAAGATCAATTGTAGCATTGTTACATGTACTTACTGTAAGAAGACTGGCCACATGGCTTTCGTAAACATGGTTTCCCATGAAATAATAAAAATAGGAATGCTAAGAATGGAAATGGGAAAAAGATATGTACTTTTTGTGGAAAGAATGGTCACACGGTAGATAATTGTTACAAGAAACATGGGTTTCCCCCAGGGTATAAGACATATAATAGTAAGTCCGCTATCGTGAATAATCTTGATACCATTCAAGAAGCAAAGACCGATCATGATGCTCAAAATCAGGACTTCAAGCTTTCACAACAACAATATCATGCTTTAATGTATCTACTACAACAGACAAATAATTAAGATGTTGGAAATGTTTCAGCTAATCAGGTTGGTTCTACTGTATCTTGCAGCACAATGAATCAAGGTAAAACTTATGTTTCTCTAACCAATTTTATCTCTCATGATGATTGGATAATTGATTCTGGTGCCACAGATCATATTTGTTGTTCTCTTTCAAACTTAATCAATTTTAAACCTATATCTCCTATAATTGTCAACTTACCTGATGGAACTAAAGTTCAAGCTACCCATTTGGGTTCTGCTAAAATTTTTTAAAATATGTGTATTCAGAACGTGCTCTTTGTTCCCAGTTTTTCATATAATCTTGTTTCTATTTCTAAGTTAGTTTCAAGTTCAGATTACATTGTTATTTTTTCCACTAATGAATGTCTTATCTAGGACAAGAAATCCACCAAGAAGATTGGTACAGCTAGGATAAAATCTGGTTTATACGTCATCAAGAATGACATTCATGCTTGCAATAGTATTGTTAAACGTAACATTTGGCACATGCGTCTTTGGCATCCTTCTCTTGATAGAATGACTATTCTTCATAAATGGTTTCCCTACGTAACTTTGCCTGAAAAAATGAGTTGTGATGTTTGTCATTTAGCTAAGCAACGAAAGTTACCTTTTCCAAATAGTTCTTCTTATGTTGCTTGTATTTTTTATTTGATACATGTGGATATCTAGGGCCCTTGCCCGGTTAGTTCTATAAATGGAGATAAATACTTTCTCACCATTGTGGATGATCACTCTAGATTTACATGGTTGTATGTTATGAAAACTAAGACCGATACGCATGTGATATTGACTAACTTTGTTTCCATGGTTAAAACTCAATTTCAGAAAAATGTTAAGGTAATTAGAAGTGATAATGGTTTAGAATTTAAAATGACTCAATTCTTCAATATGGAGGGAATTATTCATCAGACTAGCTGTATTGAGACCCCTCAACAAAATGGCTTAGTTGAAAGGAAACACCAACATATTTTGAGTGTAACACGTGCCTTGTTATTCCAATCCAACTTGTCTCAAAATTTCTGGAATTTTGCTATACAGTATGCTGTCATGTTGATAAATATTTTACCTACACCTTTTCTTGAAAATTGCATTCCGTTTGAAAAGTTATATAGACAAACGTTTGACATGAGACAATTACATGTGTTTGGATGTCTTTGCTACATTTCTACTATTTCAGCCAATCAAATCAAATTGGATCCAAGAGCTAAAGTTGGTATTTTTCTTGGTCTCCAACTGAATGTAAAAGGATACATTGTTTATGATTTACAAAATCATTCTATTCATGTTTCTAGAAATGTAATATTTTATGAAAATCAGTTTCCTTTTAAACTTCTCTCTCGAGATAATTCTGATGATTCAATATTCACTCCTGTTTCTATTTTATCCCAAAATTATGAGGTTGATAACACTCATGATATTTCCTATCATGCTAATCTGCATAATAATTCTAGTATTGACGATAATACTGATTTAAATCAACATCCTATTTATTCTATTATTGACAATAATGTTGATGGTCCTAATTCTGATTGTAACAAGAATGTGGAAACAAAACATCTAAGACGATCCACTGGACATAAAAATGCTCCTGCTTATTTACAAGATTTTCAAACATCGTTTGCTACCAAAACTGAAAGGAAAACCAAATACCCCATTAACTCTTACATATCAATGGCAAATTTGTCTTCTTCTTTTCAGTAGGTTATTTCTTCAATTGATTCAAACACTGAACCAAATTCTTATGAAGCTGCATCTCAACATGAACACTGGCAGCAAGCTATGACAGAAGAGTTTATGGCTCTCGAACAGAATAAAACGTGAACTGTGACTTCACTACCAAAGGGAAAGCATGTCATTGGATGTAGGTGGGTATATAAAGTCAAATATAAAGTTGATGGAACAATAGAACGTTATAAGGTTCGTCTGGTTGCAAAAGGATACACACAAAAGGAAGGTTTGGATTATCTACAAACCTTTTCACCAGCAGCACAAATCACAACTATCAGGTTGCTTCTATCCTTAGCATCTATGCACAATTGGTATTTAAAACAATTAGATGTAAACAATGCTTTCTTGCATGAAAATTTAGATGAAGAAGTTTATATGCAATTACCTCCAGGTTTTAATTATCCTGATAAGAGTCATGTTTGTCACCTTCATAAATCTTTGTATGGCCTTAAGCAAGCTAGTAGACAGTGGTATTCTAAGCTTTCTAATTTCTTGTGCTCTCACAATTATAAACAATCTTTTGCAGATCATTTTTTGTATCTTAAAATTAATGATTCCCACATTACGGCTTTACTCATATATGTAGATGATATTATTTTAACTGGGAACGATATCAATGAAATAAATACAGTTACTACTCTTCTTGATCATGCTTTCAAAATTAAAAATCTAGGCAACTTGACATATTTTCTTGGTTTTGAAATTGCAAGGAGCAGTAAAGGTATACATTTTTTCCAACGTAAGTACACTCTCGATATCCTGAAAGAAGCTGGAATGCTTGATTCTGCTCCAATCTCTACGCCTATGAATTTTTCTAGACACAAGACTACAGATATAGGAGAATCCCTCCATGATCCAGCTCCCTTTCGCAGGCTTATTGGCAGGTTAATTTATCTAACACACACTAGATCAGATATTGCCTTTGTTGTCCATTATTTAAGTCAATTCATTGCTGCACCTACAAATCTTCATCATCGGGCTTCTATGAGAATTCTCAGATATCTCAAACAGCACCTTGGACAAGGTATTTTCTTTGATTCTACTAGCAACTCCACACTCAAAGCTTTTTGTGATTCTGATTGGGCTAGTTGTCCTGATACTCGCCGATCCATCACTGGTTACATAATCTATCTTGGAAATTCTCCAATTTGTTGGAAATCTAAGAAACAACAAACAGTTTCCAGAAGTTCTTCAGAGGCAGAATACCGTGCTATTGCCTCTACAACATGTGAAATACAATGGTTTCATCACCTTATGCAAGATCTCAAAATTCAACATCAACAACCTTCTCTTTTGTATTGTGACAACCAATCTGCGATTCAAATTGCATCTAATCAAGTTTTTCATGAACGAACCAAATACATCGAAATCGATTATCACTTGATTAGAGAGAAGATAAAACAAGGTCTAATTAAAATTCTTCACATCAGCACTAATCACCAAAAGCTGACATTTTCACAAAACCTCTTCCCCCTACTACTTTTAATAATCTTATGTCCAAGCTGGAAATTTTTGACATATACTCCCAGCTTGAGGGGGTTGTCAAGATAATCATCTCCATAACAAACCTATCACATTCAACCACAACGTTTCATAAGGTTGTTACTTTTTTTCTTTTATTTTTTCTGTTACGTTTTCATTCTTACTTCGATATATATATATATATATATATATATATATATATATATATATATATATATATATATATATATATATAAGAATGTGTTTTTGTATAGAAGAGAAAAATAATATTTGTTTTCATCTTCGAAGAATGTGTCTTTTGCTCTCTCTTTCTCTATGTTTTTTATCTTTAATGAATTGTAGATTTATCAAGAATGAGCGCATTAGAGAGAAAAAAATTGTAAATTGGTAAAAAGAACGTAAAAACAAGTTGTTGAATAAAAAAATACAATCTCTATAGAAAAAAACTTGTGAAGAGATAAAAAAAAATTGAAAGAAAAAGAAGACAAATTAGGTATATGAAAGTATTTAAATCTTAAATTTAGGTATGATTATGTTTAAAATACATTTCCCTAAACTTAGACCGAAATATAAATGAAGGGAAAAAAAAAGAAAGATGGAAATGAAAAAGGGTTTTAATGGTCCATTCAAGAGAGGAATTATCAGGCATTTGTGGTATTTGGCATGTTATCAAAGCAATCAAGTGCATCCTTGCTTCCCTGGCCTTGGTTTTCATGGACCAATTCTAAGTTCAATTTGAAGTACAAAAATAAAGAGGTAGGCAACAACCCCTTTTTAAATCTAAAACCAAACTTCTCCTTCTCTCTATCGTACCATATTTATTATCCATGGGACCCATGCCATTTGTCACTTCAACCTCCACCACAGTATCCTTCCACAACTTCTCCACAAGAGATCTTCACCCTTCATTCCTCTCTATAAAACCCCCTCCACCCCGTGTGCATTCAATCAGATTCTTTTTTTACATTGCCACTTTTCTCCTCTCTGAATCTCTCCTTGTTCAGCCACCACAAGTTCTGATTCCATTTAGACTTGACATAGTTTGTTCAGAATGAACAAGGTTGGCTTGATTTTTCTTGTAGTCACTAAAATAATGGTGCTTCATGCCATAGCACTAGAGTCCGAGGCTCCAATGCCAGGACCTAGCCCTTTGGGGGTTAAAATCAAGAGAGAGGTTCAGGTGAGTGATCAGAAGAGTGACAAAATTGTAGATCAGCCTGTTGCTGAGTCTAGAGGGTCATCATCAAAGGAAGAACGAGAGTCTAAAGCAGAAGAAGCTATGGCTCCTGATATCAGAAGGATAGGAAAACACCATTCCACAGACGAGTCAGTGGCAGGTGGGGGCGTGATCTTAGGTGGCCTTGTTACTGTCACTTTTGCTGCTGTCTTTTGTTACATTCGGGTTACAAGGAAAAGGGATAGTGAACATTGATCACTAATAACCTCTAGTTAAATTTCTAGTTGTTTTGGTTTTTCTATTGTTAGGATTAGTCTAGGGATAGGAAGTAAATGGCCGGTGAAACATCGACATTGGCTGAAATTGTATCAATAGAGGTGTGATGTTGTTCACATTATAATGTGTAGTGAATATTGTTCGCATTATAATGTGTAGTGAATATGAGATTCCGATTGAAAACATTATATAATCCTTCTCATTTTGAGCGAGAAATTGTTCAAATACAAGTACATAACTTTCTTTCATACGAAAAGATTCCTTGCAGTTTTCTTAATATATGTATGTTTAAATTAATGATTTTTTCTTGTATTAATGTTAGTAATGTATTAAGAACAGGGGGTTCCCATAAACCCAGAACATAATGATATCTATCGTCCTTTACTTCTACGTAAAAAAAAAAAACAGCGAATGTAAAATACGAAGTAGCATATAATTTGACTAGTACTCTATAAACTAATGTTGTAAAATCTGCTTTTTGATGTTCACATTTTAAGAATTACTGTTGCGTAGTTTTAATTGTCCAAGGTGGTCGAGTGGTACACATGACAGATGTCTCCTCTTTGACCTTGTAAGCTGTGCAAAATATATAAAAATAACACCATATAGAAAGAAGATCAGAACAATAAAAAATATCTCACTATTTAGTGAAATTATTTCTCGTTCTCTTTCATCCTAACATCAAACGTAACTTCTTTTCTCCCATTTTTGTCCATCCTCAAAATCAAACAGGACTAGAGAGTAAAACAACGGGCACTACAAAAAAAAAAAAAAAAAAAAAAAAAACTTATTATCTACTGGTAAAATCCGTAGGTAATGCATTCATTTATAAACAAATATTTTTATTTACCTTATTTTTTATTATTACCTAGGACCCTTCGGAACTTTGAATTATTATTAGATTAGCAGGATTCAACCCGAGACTTCGAGTTGGAGGACGATACTCCGACTACTAAGCCTATTAAGATATTTTGATAATAATTTACAAATAAATTATATTTATATTTATCCGTGTAAATATATAAATATAAAAAAATATATAAATATAAAATATATATAAATATAAATATAAAATATATAAATATAAAATATATTTATATTTTGATATATTTATATATTTATATATTTGTATTTATATATTTATAGTTATATATTTATATTTATACATTTATATATTTATATTTATATATTTGTATTTATATATTTATATTTATATATTTATATTTATATATTTATATTTATATATTTATATTTATATATTTATATTTATATATTAATATTTATATATTTATGTATTTATGTATTTATATATTTATGTATTTATATATTTATATATTTATCTATTTATATATTTATGTATTTATGTATTTATGTATTTATGTATTTATGTATTTATGTATTTATGTATTTATATATTTATATATTTGTATTTATATATTTATATTTATATATTTATATTTATATATTTATATTTATATATTTATATTTATATATTTATATATTTATATATTTATATTTATATATTTATGTATTTATGTATTTATATATTTATGTATTTATATATTTATATATTTATCTATTTATATATTTATGTATTTATGTATTTATATATTTATGTATTTATGTATTTATGTATTTATGTATTTATGTATTTATGTATTTATATATTTATGTATTTATATATTTATGTATTTATGTATTTATCTATTTATGTATTTATATATTTATGTATTTATATATTTATATATTTCTACGAATAAATATAAGTATAATTTAGTTGTAAATTATTAGAATATCTTAATAGTTTAGTGGTTGGAGTATCAGTTTTCAACTTTAAAGTACTGGGTTCGATTCTTGCTAGTGACAATTCTTTTAGTTTAATATAATTTACCTATGGATAGTAATTCCGTAGGTAATTACCTATGGAATTACCCACGGCTGACATTACCTACGGATAATATCCGTAGTTAATGGATAATTACTCACGGATAGAATATCCGTAGTTAATGGATAATTACTCACGGATAGAATTCCGTAGGTAATGTACAATTTACCTACGGATAGAATTCCGTAGGTAATTACCTACGGAATTATCCACGGATTACATTACCTATGGATAATATCCGTAGGTAATGGATAATTACCTACGAATAGAATTCCGTAGGTAATGTACAATTTACCTACGGATTTTCATCCGTGGGTAATATCCGTAGGTAATGTAAAATTTACCTACGAATTTTTATCCGTAGGTAATATTCCGTAGGTAATAGGCTTTTTTTTTGTAGTGGGGTTAGCAACTAGCAAGTGTTGATTGCAATAGTTAACCAATGAAAGTGCTGCCTATACACTCAATATATCAATTGTTTCGTGGTGAACACCGAATTAACTAAGTTATAATCGAATTGTGTGTGGTATTTGAACGATTACAATTTGGAACTCAATTTAGATGTAATAATATGAGATTATCAGTTAAGCTAAAAATATTTCTATGTTGTTGGATGCTAGTTCGCTTCTCTTACAAATTGTTTGATTCAAAGTTCATACATCACGGTTTATGCTAGTTATTAAAATGTTGCCAAGTTATTAAACAGTGTAGTGGGAGAGAGATGAGTTTAACTTTTCAATATTTTGTAGTTTGAACAAAGATTTTTCGTCGTACCACGTTCTGGTTTTTCAACCTGTATTGTGTAGCTTTTTTATGTCCTATAATAACATTTGAAATCAAAATTCATGACAGATAATTTTGTCTTGTGCTGTCCTTAAATTAAAATATCTGGTTAGTGGTAGGGAGAACAAAAAAAATTAAGCAATATACAATCATATTTTTATAAATAGTTTAAACATTTAAATAATCTTACACATTTAAAAGCATTTAGATCAGTTTCTCACTCAAAAATAAAATAAAATCAATTTCTGACTTTCACTTCCTATCTTTCTACCCTTTTCTTTTATTGTATATATCATATAAAACAATGGGTATAAAAAACAGACTAGAGCCGCGTATAAAATGTTAGAAGCAAGTGAAATGTTTTCCGTGTACTCTTCGCGTTAACATACAAAAAAAAAAAAAGCGACAGGATTTTATAATTATGTTAGCTGGCAAACATAAATGACGAAAATTATTGGTTTGGTAACAAACCTCAATAATCACTTTTTTTAAGGCATATATATTGAACTGTCATAGATGTATAAACAAAGAAACTATAATATAACTCCAGAGGGACCAAGAGCAAAGGCCCAATCACATAGACTAACCAGCTTTTATCCGAGGAAGTAAAACTGAATGCTTCTTCCAGGATTTAAAATATAGTTCAGAACCAGAAACTAGTCTCTTCAAGATTTAATCCTACAAGTTAATTTAAATTACAGCATGACACAATATCTTATTCAGTTTATTACTAAAAGTTGAAAGACTAGAAATTTCTGAGCTAATCTCACAATCCAAACAACTTTTTGTTTTCTTCAAGCTATACTAGTAGCTCAACAGCATGGAGCAATTTTCAGGGACGGGTGCACCAATTGTTGTGACCAGGGACCCAATTTGGGCATTTTGGGCTGAAGTAATTGGAAACAACTTTGGAGTTAAGAAGGTCGAGAATGGGCACATAGGTGACGCAACGAGGTGTCTTGTATTGGTTTATGGAGGCACCTTGGCTGAGAGCAAAGTCCATGAGTTTGTCAAACGTGCCATTCTGAACCACCCTAATTTCCAAGGGTCCGATAGACTCTGATACCCTCCCCTGCCGATACACGCTGTTTAGAGATTCTTCGATTGCGAGGCAACAATCACCAAAAACCGAAGAAGGAATTGTTGGGGTTTCTCCATCTGTGTTGATTTCCCAGAAGAGAACGTAGTGGCCTGGGATGGTTGAGGTGTCGACGCAACTCGTGTATTCTGTTAGAGATGCACCAAATTGTGGAAGGTGGTCGGCACCAGATTTGACAGCATTGTGGAGCTCAACTTCGTCGGTTTTGTCCGAATCAATGCTGAGAACCACGTTCTTTCGACAAACGAAGTTGAATTGAGGAGTCTTGTTCTTGAATCCGGATACACGGAGGATGTCGCCAACCCTGTACCTGTAAAGTCCTGTATTTCATGATTCATAACTAATTAACCATTACAAGTTATAAAGAAAAGACACTGCATACACAAAATGAAAACCTTTTTGGGATGACCAAGACAAATTATTTTTTAATTTAGATTTTTATTTTAATGAAAATAAAAACTTTTAGCTAAAGATCAATAGGAAATTTTAGAATTTTTTTTAATGTTGTATTTATCTATGTTTCAACCAATTTCTATCAAAGTTTCTCAATTTAAAAAAAGAATTAATAACAAATAACTATGTATCATAGGAAGATCAAGGGTATCTTAAAATTATTTTTATTATTTATCAAAATACTTAAGTAAAATATTTGCATGATTATTAAAAAAATCTTAAATATCACGTAGAGGTAGAACTACTTAATTTATTTTAGTTGTATCCCCACATAATTCAAAATAAATAAAAATTATTTTATGACAACTTATATCATATATAATCTAAAATTTAATAAGAGAATGAACTATAAAAAGTTAGTTATCATCATGATATGATTCTAAATTAACTAATAATTTATCTTTTTATTAGTTACAATTAATTAAAAATTATGTACTCATTAATGAAACTAATTAAACAAGAAACGAATCCACCAAATTTTTCATTTTGTTTTATAAATTTCAGTCAAATTAGAAAAATATGTTGAAAATATGAGATTTCTTTAAGAATAAGATCTTATTTATATTTGTATTTATATCATATCCTTAAATTACTAAATAAAGATTAAAAAAACATACTTTTTAGGAAGTATAGACACAAATTGAAATTGTTTCATTACCTGCATAAGTGGTGACCACAAGCTCATACTCTTGACCCAACTTCACGTCAACAAGATCGAGCAAATGTTCTTGCTCCAGGTTGGAAATTGAATCAGTATGTTCATTTATCTCGTCGACAGGCAGGAACTCAAAGTAGGCCATGGTGGGAATGAGGGTGTAAGACACGTCAGTTGGGTCACACAAGGGGTTCAAATTCAGGCCGAAGTAGCACTCAGAAGAAGCGTACATGGTGCACACAAGAGGAAGACCATTGCTATAATAATCCAATATGGGAATATACTGAGACATGGTTCCCGTGACAATAACATCGACATACTTGGTGTTAGGCCATATCCTACTAATGATTCCCTTCCACGACCCCTTCACGCATTCGGCTTCAATGAAATCCGCAAGTGTGGGATTTGGTTTGAGTATTTTCATCACGGCTTCTCTGACAAAGGGGTCAGTAACTTTGGTGTGTAGGGTGCCCGTTCTTATGTCACTGCACAAAGAAAGGAAGTGGTTTTCGAGGAACTTAAGGGCACGAATGAAACCGGAGGCGAAGACTGCCCCAACGCGAAGAACTTGGTCGTTTTGGCAAAGGCCACAAAGCAACTGGGAGTACATGCTTTGGTAAGAGTCAGGGCAGAGAATGGTTTCGTTGGGGCTTGTGTAGTTTGTGTAGGGATGGTGTTTGGTGGGGTTGAAATGTGAGCTTTTGTAATAGCTGGTGAGAACTGGACGAGCGAGGAGTCCACCAGGGGTTTTGGCTTCTGATTTAGTGAAAAGAAAGTACATGCCTTTGCCTTTGTCCAAACCAGCCACAAACTGATCCATCACTGGCATCAACAGGCTATAAAGCAATGATCTCCTCTCCAGCTCCTCTTCGATCGTTGGCATCAGTTTTCTCTCCCCACCAGACGTTCCAGAGCTTATTCATTCAATACAAATATCACACGTTACTTTCAGTCACACTACTTCATTTTTAAGAGAAAAGGCTAAGTTATACCAATTCTTTAATCAAATCACCCTCCAAATATTTGATTTTCTCCAACCATTACTTTTAATTTGTCTAGTTTTTATTTTATGCAATTTTGTCCACATATTTCGAACCAAAAAGCACTGTTGTTAAAAAAAAAAAACCATATACGTACTAATCTTAGGCGTTAACTTTTCTATTGTTAATTAGTATATACTATATCATTTGTTTTATGAAAATTAAACTGACTAATATTACATTATATGATAGAGTTTCATTTCTTTTATATATAAACTTTTGTAATGGTTAATCAATCATAAAATATCAGTATATTTCTTTTAAAATAATTATTATAATACTCAACAAATATATTATAAGTAAATGAGATAAAGTGTAAAAATCATTCATATATAAAAAAACAAATGAATGAAAAAAAATACTAATTTCAATTACTGCTTGGTGTATAATTTCTTTTACAATTTTACTTTTATTATTTTGGTAATTACTTTAGTGCTATGATAATAGATTTTTATTATTTTACATAATTTATAAGAGCACAGATGTTTAAATAGTGCATATATTATTATAATTTTAATATAAGAGAAAATAAAAATATTAAAATTTCTTCCTTGAACTAAAATTTTTAAGTTTGTATTAGAATATTTGTATAGAAAAATTTATTCAAATATTCAAATCTTAATTTAATGCATTTTAAGTTTTTTTATTCTTTTATGAATATTTGTATAGAAAAATTTATTCAAATAAAATCTTATTCAGAGAATATTACATTATTAAAAACTATGGTAAACTCAACTCATAATCATGTAACACCTATATTACTGAGTATTGTTAACCTTTTTTAATAAACTGAAATTCTCGAATAATATGGACATCAATAGTGCAAGACAATGTAATAATTTCTCCATATTCATGTTGATATTATGTGACATCTCATACCAATTAATAAATAAATTTGTTAATATAAAATATGCATTGTTTATTGTAAATATTATATATATACCTAATTCTCGTGTATTGAATACAAAATTCTTATATGTATCATTAAGTTGACCAAATTATAATTTAAGGAAAGGGAAATTTGGTTTAACAGAAATAATTTAAGGATCATGGTAAAATTTTGAACCTAAGAGAAGAGATCACACCGAAACTTAAAATGTAGATAACAGATGAAAGTTTTATTTTAGCCTAATTAAAAAGAAAATAGAAGAAAAATGCCAAAATCAAATGTGTAGAGATATCAAAGTGATTGTTCAAGTTATACAAAAAAAAAAAAAAAAAAAAAAAGAGTGATTGTTCAAGTTGATGCATCGGGGGACATGTATTTACCTTGTGAGGAACTCTGAGATGGGTTTGGAACATAAAATTGGGGAGGTATCACCGTTGGCTATACGATCAATATCAGGCTTTAAATCCTCGTAAGTGACCACTGGAACGAGGTTTTTGAAAGTGATTCTGTCAGTGCGACCATCTAGGCCATGGCGTTGGAGGTACTCAGCTTCTGCACTACAAGAAAGGATCTGAGCAAGCACCTTTTCTTGAATTTCATCAGCGTCTCTGGTGACATCTTCAATGTATTCGAGGGCTCTCTTATTCTCCTGGATGATACTAGAGTTACTACCACCACCACCACCATCATCATCATCATCAAGCTCCTTTGGCTCGTTGCACAAGTGCTTTGGAGCCTCAGGCATGGCTAAAGAATCAATAGCTATTGAGTTTCGGAGTTTGGCACCAATCATGCACACCAAAGGAGAAACAAGAGTTTGGGTTTTGGAAAAGAAGAGAGGGTTGGAAAACTAAACAAAGTGAAAGTGCGTTATATAAAGGCAAACTGGGAAACCTCTCGAGAGTCCAAACAAATAGGACAAAAGGGTATAACTGTAAACTTGAAAATGTGACTTTAATTAATTTCCAAGTAATGTAAATGGAACTTTGGAAGACCAAGCCTATATCATGCAGGGGTTTAAAATATGGCTTTACAAAAACTTTGCTTCGGCAACCGGGAAAGGATATGGTTTCTGTGTTATTCTAGAGAGAAAGTCTGCAAGTCAGATTATAATCAGTTTAAGTACTTTTTATATAGCATATATTGAAATGTTTTTTCATAAGAAAATAAAAAATATGTATTACTTGCCACATTGAAATTGATTGGAAACATGGATATATAATGCTGTGAAACTGTTTGATATTTTCTTTTGATAAGCAAGAAGGGAAGCAAGAAGGGAAGCAGAAGGGTACAATTACCGCGGCTGTTGTTGAGAAAAACAGCAACAACGTTCGATGCGGGGTAAGTAGATTACGGCTATAGTTGCATAGAAACATGTCTTGACATATTTGGTTCTTATAATATTATTTTTCTCAATATTATCTGGTTGAGAATACTAATAATTAATGAGAATATTAAATGATCTTTGACTACTACTCTCATCAGCAGGATCCATATTTTTAGCTCTGCTACTGTGTATAAAACAGTTTTGTTAGTTATGACTGAAACTGATATATATAATTTAGATTAACTTTAAAAGTTCCTTGATATATAAAAAATAAAAACAGGACATATTTTTATGTATAATGACTTTACTTTTTTCCTAAAATATTGTTGTTTCTTGTGGAATTATCACTCCATGCAATTTACTGATTAATTATAGGTGTCAAAGTGTCATAAAGTGAAGTAGCAGATTACATGGCTGCATATATTTCTTGGAAAATGGATGGTAAAAAGGAACCATATAAAACCTTTAAACTATGAAAATGTTTTGATTAATCAATTAGCATCACTCCAAATACTATCAATACTTGATTAAATGAAAGGGATGATACTATTTTTTTCAAATGAAGATAGCGATAGATGATGGAAATAAAAATGCTCTACTTTGCTTATTTTTTCTTTGGTGACTGACCCATCACACTGATTCACTGGTTCTGAACACTACCCACTCCACTTCCACTGATTAATGCGCTACTTTCTCTCGTTGAATTTGAAAGTGGCTGTTTCTAGCTCTACACGAACACTGAGAGTGTGTTATCACGGTCACTGTTCACTTCAATAGTTTAAATATAGTGCTGAAAAACTCATTTAACCGATTAAGGGTACAGTAATTTGAATATAGTTCGATTTGCTAGTAAAGAGTGGTGGATTTTAATATCAAACAAAACTATCTAAAGAGTGCTCTATTCTTGAATAATATTAATTTAATCATTTGCTACAAAATATTATATTATACATAAATATCAATTATGACTAAAGACGTAGTAAACTGTTAGCAATTTAAAGAACATATTTTACCTTGATAGAAGAAATGTTATAAGAACATTTTTTAAAGAAGTTTTTAATTATACAGTTATTTAAAAATAAAATTAAATATTTTATTATGAATTTCATAGTTATTATATAAATAAATTTTTTTATTGTAAATACTTTTTTTTATTTTTAAATAATTTAGATATGAGATTTACAATAAAATATTCACTTTTATTCTTAAATAATTATTGATAAGAACTCTTTTTTGAACAAAATTTCTTCTAACTTCACAAAAATTAAAGTAAAAAATATACATTCAATAAGGTAATACATTCGTTAATCAAAAGTTATATTTCATTAAATCATTTAAATTTTCAGACATTATATTTCATTATAAAAACCATTCACAATACTTTATTTGTACATTAAATACATCTTCAATTCACAATTATTTCAGTAAAAGTGAGGATTTTGAGGAACTGAATTATACTGATAAAATAATACTCTCTTCTGCGTCTTTTTAATTTTCATATTTTGTTAAAAAATTAATTATAAGCTTTAAAATTTAAGACAACACCTATCATATTTCATCAAATTTTTAGAAACCAAATCTCTGAAATATAAATATTTGTAAATTACATACAACTTTTACTTGGTGATTTGGTAGAAGTGAGGATTTTTAGGAGCTTAATTAGTTAAATTGGTAAATAATAAATTAGAAGACAGAAAACAGTAGGTAATATTGCTTGAAGATTTTTCCAAGCAGATATGGGAAGTTAGGCAAAATCTATCTTAATAATTAGATCAACATGTAGTTGACAATCTTTATTTTTCTTTTAGTTTCCTCTTTTTAACGTATCACTCGTTCAATCATATCAGGAACTTTTGTCCCTTCTCTTTTTGTCTCTTTATCAGTGTCTACAAATTTTTACTTGTTCATAAGTTGCACGTCTTTTAAACGATTGTTTCTTTCGAAATACGAATATGATTTGACTCAACTACCAGAGAGAGAAATATCAGGATCAGTTCCTCTTCATACAAAGTACGAATGTCATTGATTTTAGTAAAATTATATATTGGGATTCACAACAGCACATGAGCATCAGGGAGACGACTAGTATTTTATTAACCGTAAAAGTTTAAAGTCAAACAAAGTTTTGTATAGTTTTAGGAGATTATGTTTACCAACTCCACCCGTAACTGATGGAAAAAATATACTTGTTCATAACATTCATAGTAAAGACTATGTTTTTAGTTTCACAAAACCTTGCCCCTGAATCATACTCGTACGTTGAAATAAATGTTGGAGTAAATCACAGTGCAGGGATCAACTGTTGACAACTCTGAGTTCTGCAATATCCACCCTTCATCATGTGTTTCAGTGCTTACTCAACAATTACAACGCTGATTAAAAGTGCAGTTTCGAGGATATCAAATTTGTAATTCATTCTTATGAAGCATTTTTTGTACTCACTAGAATTCATATTACGCTCTTATATATCAGCATTTTTTCCAACATTTTGCTTAAGTCTGTATTTACGAAGTGTAACAAAACGTATTATTTAATTATTCTAATTTTTTAACATCTCTCATATTTGCTAGTTTCTTCGATTGCTTTCTGGGTAATATGACTTTTGATCATTTGTTTTGAAAACCAATTGCTTTTTTAATTAAAAAAAATTATAGATTCTTTTGTAATTTAATGATTAAGTAAAAATTATTTTGAATTATAATTATTAAATAATAATGGAAATAATGAAAAAGTAAAATTTTAATTATTATTCTGGAATGAATGAATGGATGGTGCCAGTCACGACCTCCAGTAACTTAGAAATGGACGTTTCTCCAATGCCCTTAAGCCACCTTTCTTACACAAATGATCATAACATTAATGTCTTCAAACCCTTATTTTAGATGGGTTTGATTCGCACGTCACTGAAATTTGTGACGTGGAATGGGTGGTTAGTTTTAATTGTGTGTAGTTTGTTCATTTGATAGGTTAGGGTGATTGGATTGATTTATTTGTTTATTTAAAAAAAAACATTTATATATTAAAATTTAAATTTAAATAATTATAATTAAAAATATTATATTTTTTCATACTATTTTATTGAAATATATAATATTATAATTAAAATTATAAAAACTAATTAATTAAATTTAAATTATTAATTATAATTAATTATTTAATATATAAATATAATAAATTTTTAATTTATCTAATAAAAATATTAATTTAAAAATTATTTATATAATTAAAAATATATATTAAAAATGCATATATAAAAATTTTATATGAAAAATAATTATTGATGAACTTATTTATTAACTTGTTAATCCATCTTTTAATCGGATAGATTAAGATCTCTGAATATGAAAACGGATTAAAGGCAGGATCAACAAAAAATTAACTTACGATAGTTCAAGTTATGTGAAAATGATGATACAGTAAAATGAATATAAAAATAACGTCTTTATCCATTCACTGTTACTGGCTCCATGTATACATATCAATGCATCTCAATGTCACTACTATATTTCCCCACATGTTTATAATTTAAAAGAATTCGTGGAACACCAAAAAGATAATATAAAAAAAATAATAAATAAAAATAATAGTTACCACTCTACAGCTACCTCCTTACATCCTTTAGCCATCTATATATATATATATATATATATATATATATATATATATATATATATATATAAACCCACCGTCACCACGCAGGAGAGAAAGAAAAGAAAAGAAAAAAAAAAAACGAAAATCAGTAGAACAGAAACTCAAAAATAAAAACTAAATCAACAAAATAATTTACTTTTTAACTAATAACTTCAAATGTACTTTTGATTTAATTATAATAATAAATAAATAAATATATATATATATATATATATCCAAATAGAAATTATAAATACAATAATTTAAACATTTGAAATTATTTGGATGCACTTTTGATTTAATTATTATTCATAAAAATGATAATAATTTTAGATGTAATTCTAATTTGATTATTCATAATTATCCAACTTTAAAATAATTTTAAACATATGTTTAATTTAGCAACACAAATAGATAAATTAAAATAAATTATTGACAAATATTTGTAAGAAAAAACTACATTACTCGATTCTCTATTGCACCTGGGATACATAGGAGCGAGGAGATGATCTCTGTCAAGCTAAAAATATAAAAATATATAATCTTTTATTTAGTAGCAATATCTAATTGATATATAAATTTGAGGGATAAAATAGATAATTTTAAGATATTTAAATTTTTTACCTCTAATTAAAGGTAACCGTTTTTAGAACGGATATTATAAGGTGCTAATACCTTCCTTATACATAATCGATTCTTGAACACAACCTTTATTTCGCATACCATTTTCCTTTTTGAAGGATTTTTTCCGATACTTTTCCTTAAAATAAATATTGGTGGCGACTCCCTAATGAGAAACGAAAATCTTCTTAAGGCAAATCTAGTTGAAGGAGAAGATACAATAATTGCGGTCGTTTCCTAAATAAACATTGTGACAAATGTGAGCAAATGAGTTGTAGACTCTGGTGCTACCAGGCACATCTGTGTAAACAGAAACTAGTGTGAGAATGGAGAAGAACATATTTATCTCGATGATTACAGAATAACTCCTGTCTTAAGAAAATGAAAAGTTTTTCTAAAGCTCATATCTGAAAAGACTCTGTTGACCTTGAGTGGAGTGTGGGTAGATACACTAATTATGGTTGTTTCCCAAATAAACTTTGTGACAAATGTGAGCAAATGGATGGTAGACTCTAATGCTACCAGACATATCTGTGCAAACAGAAGTGTTTTTACATCCTACACACTACAAGAAAATCGTGTATTACCGACGAAAATTACCGACAGATATAAAATATTTGTGGAATTTAATTTTACTGACGGATATATCCGTCGGTAAAATAATAATTAGTTACCGACGGATATATCCGTCGATAAATCCGTCGGTAATTTATAAATGAATTTACCGACGGATATATCCATCGGTAAATTCATCTGTAAATTACCGACGGATATTTCCATCGATAAATTAACAATTAGTAAATATTCACCTAATTAAAAAATTAAATATTTTTTATTTAATAATTTAATTTAATCATAATTAGATTAATTTATAATAATTTCTTAAATTAAATAATTTTAAAAAATAAATATTTAATTATCTATAAATATATAAAAATATATAAATATATAAATATATAAAATAAAAATATATAAAATATAAATATATAAATATATAAATATAAAAATATAAAAATATATAAATATATAAATATATAAATATATAAATATATAAATATATAAATATATAAATATATAAATATATAAATATATAAATATATAAATATATAAATATATAAAAATATATAAATATAAAAATATAAAAATATATAAATATATAAATATATAAATATATAAATATATAAATATATAAATATATAAATATATAAATATATAAATATATAAATATATAAATAATTTTTGTGGGTTTTACCACCGTTTGTCCGTAGGCCAAATGGTCGCGCTTGCAAACCCGGAGCGCCATGCCTTCAAGCGAGCTTAAACACTCGTTAAGCGCTACCTGTTGAGTATCCTTGGTAATCATTCCTCGTTGATCGCTTCGCATATGCGAAGAGTTGGATCCGGGCGAGCTCTACAAGGTGTACAATATGGCGGCTAGCGTCATTGGAGACAAGGGGTTCTGCGTCCTCTGCTAAAATCCTCTCGGGGTGGGCTGCAGAGCACTTAAAGTATTACAGGCAGGTTACCACTACCTGCCCTGGCCCGGTTTGTCTGTAGGCCAAACGGTCTGCTTGCAAACCCGGAGCGCCGTGCCTTCAAGCAGCTTAAACACTGTTAAGCGCTACCTGTTGAGTATCCTTGGTAATCATTCCCTGTTGATCGCTTCGCATATGCGAAGAGTTGGATCCGGGGCAGGCTCTACAAGGTGTACAATATGGCAGCTAGCGTCATTGGAGACAAGGGGTTCTGCGTCCTCTGCTAAAATCCTCTCGGGGTGGGCTGCAGAGCACTTAAAGTATTACAGGCAGGTTACCACTACCTGCCCTGGCTCGGTTTGTCTGTAGGCCAAACGGTCTGCTTGCAAACCCGGAGCGTCGTGCCTTCAAGCAGCTTAAACACTGTTAAGCGCTACCTGTTGAGTATCCTTGGTAATCATTCCATGTTGATCGCTTCGCATATGCGAAGAGTTGGATCCGGGGCAGGCTCTACAAGGTGTACAATATGGCAACTAGCGTCATTGGAGACAAGGGGTTCTGCGTCCTCTGCTAAAATCCTCTCGGGGTGGGCTGCAGAGCACTTAAAGTATTACAGGCAGGTTACCACTACCTGCCCTGGCCCGGTTTGTCTGTAGGCCAAACGGTCTGCTTGCAAACCCGGAGCGCCGTGCCTTCAAGCAGCTTAAACACTGTTAAGCGCTACCTGTTGAGTATCCTTGGTAATCATTTCCTGTTGATCGCTTCGCATATGCGAAGAGTTGGATCCGGGGTAGGCTCTACAAGGTGTACAATATGGCAGCTAGCGTCATTGGAGACAAGGGGTTCTGCGTCCTCTGCTAAAATCCTCTCGGGGTGGGCTGCAGAGCACTTAAAGTATAGGGCTGACCAACGTATGAGCACCTCTCAGTGCTACACGGATAGGAATTTTGGTCTAACAACGCCACGTACTAATCTGGAATTTTGAAAACTATTTTCATATCATTATGAATAACCAAAATGATGAGTTTGTACCCATAGAAGGGGCACTCCCAGGTCTAGGATTCATAGTTAGACCTCTACAACCCCCAGGTATAAGCCCAAGTTTTAGTCCAAACCCAGCAATAGAACTAACTAAGCAAATTAAGAAACTTAAACGTAAATTAGCAAGGCATATAGCCCAAAAAGAAAAATTAAGAAGAGAAAATCCAAATAATTATGCTTGGATCATAGTTTGGTACAAAAGTAATATTAAACATTTGGAAAATAGACTGAAGGAATTAGGTCACTTTGTTGCCTAGTTTGAGCTATTAGGTGTTTAGATTTGTGTCTTAACCCTAAATCCTTAAGTTTAGGGTCTTTGGGACTCTTAACTTAATCAAAGGAATTCGTGTAGCACTGAGAGGTGCTCATACGTTGGTCAGCCCTTAGATCTGGTGGTCCCGGCAGTAAAACCCAGGAGGGGTAGTGAGTCCGTTGGTCAACTAGATAGGCCGTGAGGCAAAGAGGTGGTCCCGTAGCATGGAAACCCGAGAGAGAGTTAGGATGCCTAATATCCTTAGAACATTAAGTGATTTAAGATTAAGAAACAAAGATAAACAAATAGTAGTGAAAACACCGCAACAAGAGGCTTCGTCTTCTTCAAACTCCTCAGATAATAAAGAAAAAGAATTTCAAATAGCAGAAATAGAAAATTCTTTGCATAACTGGTCAATACCTATAGTAAAAAAATGTGAAGTCTATAAACAACATAAATTTTGGTCAACAAGTTTAGATGAAGTACATATAGTTGAATATAGTTATCCAGGAACTAAGAATAATAAGATTATAAATATTTTAGAACAATCAATATTAGATCAACACATAAAAGATGGATATAATTTTATTCATTTAGGATTAATCCAAGTAGCCGCAAAGCCTAATTACAGAATAGGAGTTAATAGTCCAATATTAATGATATTAAGAGACATAAGACTTAAAAAATTTAATGATTCCATAATCGCTATTCTAGAAAGTAATTTACATGATGGCCCTGCCTTTTTTAACTGTTATCCTAATTTTTCAATGAATATTAAAAATGATAAAACCAGTGAAGCAATAAAATTATATATTCAAATTCTTGAAGAAATTGTAGATGAAGAATCAGGTCCAATACAGATAATATATAGAGTTTATTATAAGGTAACCAGAATAGATTATAATTATAAAGCTTTAAGATCTTCGCCAAAAGACGAAACCATATTAGTAGAAGCTAATCTTAGAAAATCCTCAGTACAATTTCCTAAAAGATTAAGCCATGAAGAAGTAATAAGTAAAATTCCGGAAGAATGGAAATTAGAAGATATTATAGAAGAACCAAAAATATATAATACTCAGATTAGAGAAATATGTGAATTAAACCCTACTGCTTTCTGGCATAGAAAAAAATATATCATAGAATTACCATACATAAATAATTTTGATGAAAAACAAATACCAACAAAAGTCAGACCAATACAAATGAATAATGAATATTTAGAATATTGTAAAAAAGAAATTTAAGAGTATTTAGATAAAGGATTAATTAGACCGTCAAAATCACCCTGGAGTTGTACAGGGTTTTATGTAATGAAAGCCTCTGAAATAGAACGAGGAGCACCCAGATTAGTGATTAATTATAAACCTTTAAATAAAGTATTAAAATGGATAAGATACCCATTGCCAAATAAAAATGATTTAATTAAAAGAGTATACGACGCAACAATATTTTCTAAATTTGATTTAAAATCAGGATATTATCAAATCTCAGTAAAAGAAGAAGATAAATATAAAACTGCTTTCGTAGTACCTTTTGGACATTACGAATGGAACGTAATGCCTCAAGGCTTAAAAAATGCCCCAAGTGAATTCCAAAATATTATGAATGATATTTTAATACCCTACTTAAAATTCTCAATTGTATATTTAGATGATATATTAATATTTTCAAAGAACATAACATAACATACTAATCATTTAGATATATTTATAAAATTAATGAAAGAAAATGGGTTAGTAGTATCAGTTTAAGAAAATAAAAATATTTCAAACAAAAATAAGATTTTTAGGATATGAAATATATCAAAATACTATAATACCTATACAAAGATCTCTAGAATTTGCGAGATAAATTTCCGGATGAAATAAAAGATAAACAACAATTGCAAAGATTTTTAGGATGTGTAAATTATATAGTAGAATTTATTCTTAATATTAGAATAGTATGTGCACCACTATTTAAAAGACTTAGAAAAAACCCGCCTTCTTGGGATGAGAATATGACCCAAGCTATAGTAAAAGTAAAAGAATTAATAAAAAGAATACCTTGTTTAGGGATCCACTGATCCACAAGCCTTTTTAATAATAGAAACAGATGCATCTGATTTAGGCTATGGGGGGTATTAAAACAAAAAATTTTAGAAAATTCTAAAGAACAAATTGTCAGATCATTCTGGTATTTGGCACCCTTCACAACAAAAGTATTCTATAGTTAAAAAAGAAATTCTTTCAATAGTATTATGTGTTAAAAAATTTCAAGATGATGTTTTTAACAAATTTTTTTTAATAAGAACTGATTGTAAAGCAGCGCCAAGTGTTTTAACAAAGGATGTTCAAAATTTAGTTTCAAAACATATTTTTGCTAGATGGCAATCTTTATTATCATGTTTTGACTTTGAAATAGAACATATAAAAGGAAAAAATAATTTTTTACCAGATTTTTTGACAAGAGAGTTTTTATAGGCTTCAACATGAGCACGAAGTCCGTAAACAAAGATCAGTATGGTCCCCCACTGGGATTACAAAAAGGAAAGGAACATAATAATTCCCCACTGGAATTACAAGGAGAAGCTATATCCAAAAGTCATTATTATCCCCCACTGGAATTACAAAAAGAAGCCTCTACAATATCACTAAGACCACAAACCTCTCGAACCCATCCTAAAATCCAGTCTACTTTAGCAGAAATCCTAAGAACACCTCCACAAAGACCTAGCATGTCTAGAAATCCTTTGACTAAAAATAGATTTACTCCTCTTCAATATCAAAATATTTTAGTAGGACCAAAAGACTTTATCAATAAAACCATTCCCGAACCACTCTCTGAAGAATATCTAGAAAAACCTAAAACCTCTCCCATCATTATTTTAGAAAAATCCTGGATTTATGACAACCTTAGAACAATAACCAATCATCTTTTTCCTAAAGATTTTCATTATCCTCCAATAATCCCAGAAAAAACTAGAACCTTTTATGAATTTATTTTGGTAGATACAGACTCTGCAGAAATCTACCATACCAGAGACAACCAAAACAATATTTTGTTCTCAAAAATAAAAATTTTAAGAATCTTATCTCCTGAAGAATGGAACCAACCAATCCATGAAACCAATAATTTTTCTAGAACTTTCAATCCCCAGACGTATAATTATTATGACTACATAGAAGCATGGACAAAAGCCTTATTAGTACATCCAGGGACCCATTCATGGTTTATCTGGTTTAAACGAGAAATTTCTCTAAAATTTCCAAAATGGTTCATTAAATGGTTTGCTGACTTTGGACCATTACCAATAATCTTCCCTCAAAATGTTAATGATGTATATCAATATTTTAGAGAAAAAACAGCCTTTGATTCAGGATATAGATTGATCTCATTTGTAGCTACACAATCCATTACGTGGATAGTAGCTTGGGATTATGAAATAGAACCAGCATACGAAAATGTAGATATAAAACAACTATCTAGAAGATTCAAGATAAAATGTTGGCAGAAGTTCAATACAGAATTAATAACCAAAAATAATATTGACAAGTGGCAAGAAAATCATAGAAGACGAAGAGAAGATTCAAGTCAAGCATTAAGCCAAGAATCATTATTCCTAGCAGAAAAGCAAAGACTAATGGCAGAATTAGCAGCAGCTACTAACATGAAAGATTTCGAGCAAATCATCAAAGAAAAGTCATCAACATCAAAATCAGATTTTGAAGAAAGTATTCAGCATAATCCTTTCGATATCTTTGATTAAAGGATCAAGACAAAGCGTGACAAGATGTGACAAAACAAAAAGAGAAAGAAGACGTGATATGAAGATAAAAATCAAATCTGAAAAAGAAGATATGCCGAAGACCAAGACAAAAAAGATAAAAAGAGTATCATACCAAATTTGAAAAAGCAGAACAAATTATTGCAAGAAGACAAAATTAGAAAAAGAAGATGTGACAAAAAAAGATATTACGGGATATGATAATCATGTAAATAATAGAAGGATAGTTTTGTATATTATGTAATCTCTCTATAAATAGCCTCTTCAGTTAGTGAAGAAGGCAGAGCGAAATTAAGTGTTTTCTGAAATCTTTGTATCCAAGTTTGCTAATGAAGTTTTCAATTTTCTTCTATGTAAGTCTTCTTATTCCAGAATCATTTCATTTATTTCCCTTTCTTTCTTCCAGTATTTTATATATTGAAACTCTGATGTTTTAAATTTTATTTTAAATCGATCCTGTCCAGATTGGTATCAGAGCCATAGTGCTCTGAATTATAATTCATATTTGGTTTTCTTGTGGGAGGGACTATGATCATGATTTTTAACAGAAATAGTATATTGGCTGGAAACCAGTTGTTTACCTCCCTTCGTTTGAAGGTCTGAGGAATTCTGGTCTAACAACGCCACGTACTAATCTGGAATTTTGAAAACTATTTTCATATCATTATGAATAACCAAAATGATGAGTTTGTACCCATAGAAGGGGCACTCCCAGGTCTAGGATTCATAGTTAGACCTCTACAACCCCAGGTATAAGCCCAAGTTTTAGTCCAAACCCAGACAATAGAACTAACTAAGCAA